AACTAATGGCCTGTCTGTAATTCTCTTCCAGCAACTGATAAATGCCAATACTCAGAGGAAAAAAGATGAAGAGGAAATTCAAAGGGTAAATAGCTTGGGTCACTGAAATTTTTGTTACCTTTATCCAAGTTTCTACAGTTACTGATGAGATTAGTCAGATCAAAAATATGTCATACTTTTAAAACATAGTTAGAATTAAGCTTACCATTTGTTGAAATTAATGTGCTTTCAGTTGTGTATAATGTAACCAATAGTTGGTTTGACTAATTTTCTTTTCTATTTTTGTCTTAAATCGAATGCTTAGAAATGACATTTGATAAAGAGCTTCTGTATGGAAATGGCATAAGACTCATTTATTAAATATCTTTATTTTTTTTATCTTTATTCATTTATTCTTTTATTCATTTAAAATCTCAATGCATTCTTCACACATTTTTTCTCTTTTTTTATGCGTGTTTATTTAAAGTAATCCATTTTCTTCCATTTTCATCAGCTCCAGGCTCAGTTAGGGATTGTGGATAAGACAGGAGGGCATAAGTCTGAAACAGCTGCTGTTGAACTGAATGTAGGTGGAGCCAGTGTCAGTCAAGAGAAGACGAGTGTAGAAGAAACAGTACAGCAGGAAAAGGATGTTACATCAGTCACCTTGGAAACCCCTTCAAGTAGCATAGCAACTGAGGGATCAGCATTAAATGAAAAAGAGGCCAGATTGATTGGTAAGAAATGGAGTTCAGACGCTAAGTGATAATGTGTTTAGGTTTTTTTCATTATTGTGTCTGCAAACTGGACTGTGAAACAGGATAATGAACCAAATGATGTGACTTTGTATAATATAAAGTTTCATATTCTAATATGACCACGTTTTCAAGTTTTAATGCCTACACTGGACCTTCCAGAATTTCGGAGTTCTATAAATAGGACAGCTTTGCTTATCACCCTTTATAGGTTAAAAAAAATTACCAAAGTGACATCTGTATACCTAGTCATCACATGTATCATATATTTCGCCAGCATGTTAATCAGCTTCTTCATTCCACAATTCCAGGTCTCATCTCCGTGTTCCTGCATGCGCACCCTTTTGGCGCGAGCGTGGACTACATCTGGTCATACCTACAGCGTTGCAACATCATCGTTCGTCGCAGCAGCGAGATAGAGGACCTCCTGGAGAGACTTCCCGACGTCTTCAGGACAGAGATGTGCGGGGTTGGGGCCTCCATCGAGAAAAGGTGGACTTTTACTGGGTTTACTTCCAAAGATTCTGGACTCATTATAAAGTGAAAACTCTGCATTGGCAAAGTAGGGGGAGTAAAGTTCCAGACTTAAAGTGCAAGTTCAGGTTTAATTTGAGACAGTGGATCAGGATTTAGACCCATTTATTGTGATGACTTCATGTAAAGTCAAGTTCAAAAGAAAACTGAACCTTCTTGGCAGGGAGTTCAACTTTAATTTGAGGCCAATAAAAAGGCTCTTAGGCTCCTACTAATATAAAGTGACGACTTCATGTAAGATCAAGTGAAAAGAAGAAGTAAAAAACCCACTGGAATATCTGCTGAAGTTAATTTAGTTCAAAGCAGTTGAAGAGATAACGAAGCCATCTCAGATATACTGTTGCTCAATGGAAAATGGAGTGAGATTATAAGAACCAGACTGGATTATAGGATTGAATTTATTTAGTTCAAAATACTTGACGAGAAAAAAAAAAACTTGAAGTCATATAAATTGGTACTTAAGCAAAAAGTGGTGGTCTTTATACTGTTAAGTGTTATGTATTGTCACATCAAAATTGACACTTTTGATGTAAATATCATCAGAGCAGAGCAGTGTTTATTCTCTAGCTTAAAAGAATGGTTCTTATGGCTAAATTAGAGATTATATTAGAACTAGCCGTATTAGATGAACTTAAGCATTTTCCTCCTTTAGTTTCATCATATTCGTTTTACAGTCTAACACCTAAAATTGGTCTTGGATCTGGAAATGTGTTATTGTTATGTAAAATAGATCATTATTATAATTTGTTAGGCAAATTAAAGTTATTCTCAGTCCTGTTAGATTTGCTCAACCCATGTATCCCTTGCTTATGATCTTTGATCATATAATCCAGTCATGTAATTTTATATTCATTAGATGACCCTTTTCCGTTTCTAACAACCTTAAACAAGGAAAAAATAAATTATGTATTACTAAAAAAGTCTTCAGCAGTTGTCTATAATATAAAGATCCCTCTCAAATTTTTTAAAGCGTTTGAGTTACATATTTTAACGCAAAAATATAAAAGTAAGGGAATCAACATTTGAAAATAAATATATCAGAGAAATAAGCTCCACACAACACGGCTCGTCCTAGTCGATATTCTATACTAGAGGATCAGAGAGGCGATACCGCCTCCGGATATTGTACCACCAGCTGGAGTAAGCGCATTCGTATGGACCCCCCCCTCCAAAAAGGGAGACCATCACCAGTCTTGTGCTTGACAAGCTCTATAAAATGCAATCAACAGGAGTTCTCAAAATATACAAAAAAGTATAATTAAAAATGGTCAGTATATGACTTTCTATTCAACTTCAATAGTAACTATGGACCTACCTCTGCCAGTTTTGGAGATAAAAGGGAAGCAAAATTTGCAAAGTTCAGTTCATGGTGAAAAGTAGGTCAAAGGTCAATTTCAAGGTCACATTTAGATTGCCAGTA